AGTAGAAGGACATATTCTTCGATTGGAAGACTTGGTGTCAAAATGATCTCACTTATCCTTCAAGTAATCTAAATTTATCATACTTCTAAATTATAAAATGCCAACAGAATTTTTCCCTAACTAGACAAATTGATTTTAAAGTTCATGTGGAAAAAAAACCCACAAATCAGTCAAAATATCTTTTTAGAAACTAGAGGAATGGGAAGTTATGTGAAGGAACTAGCTTTTATCAGGTCAAGTCATTTCCATCAAGTCAGAACCAACTGATAACAGACCCTCCAGCAGATTTTCAGAGGCTGTAAATTACACAGAAGGAGATTGCTCATCTTTCTCCTAAGGAGCACCTGGTAGATTCAAACCACCTTCTTTTGAGTTGACAGCTCAGTTTCTTACCCACTAAGCTATCAGAATTCCCTGCTCTATCAGGTACAAATACATATGATAGATATACTGTATTTAAAAATAGGGGCTTAAGAGGCAAACAGAACAATGAAATATGATACAAATTTCAGAAATAAACCCATCCATTTATTAAAATAACATTTCAACCAGGTATTAAGGTGGAGTTCCATTGATTCAATAAATGCTTATTTGCATTTTTAATGATGTGTTTAAACCCAACATGATAAAAGCAAAGAATTTGTGCAGGGCAAAAATCACTATCATATATAAACATGAGACACTGGTAATATTTTCAACTTCTATCATAAGTAGAATACACATCACCTTAGTATATAAAGAACTTTAAAAAAAATGTAAAAGTACCAGTGATTCTATAGAAAATAAAGACTATAAATAGATCATTCACAGAGAGAGAAAAAAGCATTCCCATATGAACAGCTTTAGTCTGCTTGGCTCCACGGTCAACACTCTTGGCTCCAGTTGTCAGGAAATCAAAAAGCGTATTGTGATGGCAAAGTCTGCTGTTAGGGACCTTTACAGGGTACTGAAGAGCAATGGTGTCACTCTGGAGATGAAGGTGCATCTGATACAGGCTATGGTCTTTGCAGTCACTTGTTATGCATCAGAGAGTTGTACAATGACTAGGGAGGATAGA